CATCTGGTGGGGCCACTGTGAGATACAGGAAGCTGGACTAGATGGGCCCTTGGCCTGATCCATCAGGGCTCTTCTTATGTTCTTATGAATATCCTTAGCTATTTTCTATCATGCCAGCATCTGTCAGGACCAGCTCATGGCCAGAATCAAAATCAAAGAAGATATCAGAGAAGGAGGAAGGCCCCATTGCTATCCCAACATATACTGGATTGATACACACAACGACCACCCCAGAAGACTCATGTATATTCACAGGCCACAATCCTTCCTAAGTTAGCACACATATGCACTAGAGACCCTCTAATACCCCAAGTAGTGATGACAGTGATCAACCCAAACAGTGTTCTAGAATAGAAGGTATATTTCATACCGGAAAGGATAAGCATTCCCATCTCTGACTTCAATGTGAGGGAAGAGAGCAGAAAGTAATGTATGCTTCAGGGAAAGAAAGGTCCTTTTGATTCTTCAGGAGGTGGGCAAGCAGGACTAGCTATAAAACTGCCTAATGGCTGCTTGGCTGGTGGCATAATCTGCTTCTCTCTGGATCCTTCTGCCATTATTGAATTAATTGGCTAGCAAGCTATATTATTGACACAATAAAGTGCCTCATGACACCTTGGAAATGAACCGATGATGCAATAAGCATTAACGCTACCCACTTTGGTTAGGACCTGCTTCTCCCACTCTTGCTGAACTGGGCAGCTTCTCGATAGGATAGGAAACTGAGCCAAAGCATTCAGGGTGGGAGGGAGCAAGATGACAAGATGGTGGGGGTTTGCTAAAGTTCACAAGGTTGTAATCTTTAATTTGCACACCAACCCTGCCATGCAGGAATACCCAAACACCCACAAAATGTAAAGGGATCCAATAGCGCATGAGGCAAGGCCTTATTAATACCAACAAGCCTGCTTCTTCCAGAATAACCAAATTGCTGTAAGGTTTTTATTATTTTATGGTAGATGTTGCAAAAAGTCAAAAAGAAATAAAGGCACAAGCAGTTTCAAAAGGTCAGTTCCAAAGAATTCAACAGTAATCCAAAAATTTGTGAAGAAAATGCATATCCATAAAGATTGAACATTAGGGGAATTCCAGAACAGTTTCCATGGAACATAAGAAAGCTAACTATCCTAAATAACTTACATTGAAGCAGAACTTGAGCATAGTTCCAGAGCACATGCAGAATATAAATCAATTAGCAAGATAGTAGGCAAGCATAGCATACTCATCAGAAAAACTAAGCTAAACTAAGTAAATTTCTCATACCATTTTTTATAACCACCATCCACTTTTCCAGACCTTTCAAGTATGTTCTACCAATCAGGTCCTGTCACTCTGAAACTTCCAGAAGGGAGTAACTTCTGCTAAAGTAACTTCACTCATTTCCTCTCTTTTTCTCGGCTGAAACCAGTTCTAACTAATTACCTTGGTACCAGGAGAGAATTTTTAATGACTGTGGAAATCCCTTGTCACACGCTGGTAAAACACAACTGGCAAAACTCTTAACAAGCCATTTCTTCCCTTCTCTTCTGGCCTGCCCTTACCCAGCACTAGCTAACAGGCCCAAGCTTCAAAGGCAACTGAAACCATCATCCCCTCATCTGCAGTCTCTTGACACAGGACAATACCTCTTTTCCACCATGAATAATTAAAAACAGATTTATTCACAAACACCTTGCTTCAAACTACTGTATTCAAAACAATTTTACCCTTCCTTCCTCCACCAATTATGAAGGTGTGCAGGCGGTCCATAGATTCATAAATACCATGGGGTTAAGTAACCTGCCAGCATCCACATGGCCCATATGATTGCCGAATTATTCCCTTCAGTGTATTTCAAATGCACAGACCCTTTAGAGAGATTACATACTTCCATTATTCAACCTTCCTTTCCTAAAGCTTTTCTGAATCAATCAAGGTTCAGTAACAGAAGATTTTTGAACAAATTGCTTCTTAATTCAGCCTAGACGTATACTCCTGCAGGGATCTGGAAAAATATCAGGATCATTAGCCCTAATAATTCCTGTAATAGCACTTTTCTCTGGGGATAGGCAGAGCACTACGATAATTTAGTGCATTACCCTTTAAACTTCACAGTCCTGCAGGGCCATTGCCTTTCCTACATGTGAATACAAACCTCATGAATATTAGTGGGAGTTATGGATTTTAAAGGTGACTGGTTTGAGAGCGTGAAATGAAATATTGTTGCCAGAATGAATAGAAATATAACTCAGTCTCTGAGCAGGCTATTATTTTTTTTTTGAAAATCTGAAAGCCAACTTATAAGAGTATCCTTTGAGACTTCAAGTGAAGCCAAAATATAAAGGGCGGGATCCCGTTTGCAAATTCAGAGTGTAACAGCTCTGCGAACAGAACGCTCCATATTTGTTTCAGCAACCTCCAGCTTGCAGTTGCACAAGCTGAATGGTACCCTGTTGAAAGCAAGGGGGCTTTCCATTAGTGCAAATGAATTGTGCATTCACCCTTGCACAAACAACAGGACCATTCCACACATAGTGAAAAACCAGGAGGATACTGCTCATAGAAACACACACTAGACCGGTTCCTAGCTCTGTTTCATTGGCATATGTCAGCGGCCATTGCACACTTGTGAACACTGGAGCAGCTGATAATCTTAGCTGTGTTTCCTCCCCCCCCCATAAGACAGTGAAGAATGGAGGGCACCTTTTCTTAGAGACAGCTAGCTTATCCTTACAGATGTTCCTCAACACATGTTGGCTGCATGTCAGGACCTATCCAGCTAGTTTGCACAGTGTCATAGGTAAGTGTACCATGTAAACTAGAAAATGTCTCTGAAATAGAGGTTGGAAAGTTAGTTTTCTTATTTCAGACTCATTGCAACCTCTAGCAAGTGAGATCTGGGGAGTGCCCAACAAAAAAAATACCTGGTCCAAATTCTGTTCAGAATCCGTTCCACGATGCAAGACTCCACAGGCATGTTGGGAGTACTTAGCAGACATCAGTATGGAAAAAGACTCTCTCAAGGTAAAAAGTCACAAAGCCACTACTTCCACTAAGCATTTCTATGCATGTTTAAATTCTTCTTTATTCCATATTCAAAAGCTTTTGCCCAATCTTCTTATAAACATCCAGCCTACATTCTGTGTGTGCAACAACAAACTGGTTGCCAAATTAAAGTAAGTAAAGTGTTAAATACAGCAGTGATGAGCTAGATGTCCACTTGAAGAAGAACAAAAAAGTAAATGAAGAGCAATTATCATCAAATTCCCTAGGTACTGTGAATATTGCATTACCTGTGCTCTGCCACTTGCATCTTGGATTTTCCACAATAATCTCATAAGCTACTTCATTTTGGAAGACAATGTGTGAAAATTAAAACATGCCAATGTTATCCCACAATATAGTGCTAATCAGACTGTTGCCCAACAGTAATACCCGAACTGTAATCATGATACTTTTTCAAGTATCAAAGAAAAATGGCAACAAATACTTCCTACTATAGATTAATAAGCACATTACTCCCATAACAAAAGTAGGATTGTGTTAAGTGGGTTGTTGTAAAAAAATGTATCTTAGTGGAGCTGGGGGAGGGGGGAGGTTGCTAGATTGGTAAATTTATAAGGCATCCCTACTACAAAAAAAGGAAAGCATTTGTTTTAGATCATGGTGGAGAATGCTTTGTTTGAACTACCATTCCCATTATGTCTCACTATTAGCCAGTTTCTCTAAGGCTGATGGGAATTAGAGTACACCAACAGCTGGAGAACCACAGGTTGCCCAATATTGAATGATCAGGCAAGCTGCATCACATATAATAAGTATAACTGCATATAAAGGCAAAAAACTGTTTTGCCTATGTCCCAGGTCATGATTAAGTCTGCTCAACCAGGGCTTTGCCCCTTGGGTCGAAATTTAAAGTGTGCACTCTGTCTGAGGCTGGCTCAGCAACCTGGTCTATTGCCATAGGAAATGAAAGCAGTAGACTAGAACTCAGGGTCACAGAACGTCATGAGGTCAGTAGATTAAGTCACTGGCAGAGAGGAAAGAAAATGCCAGTATGCCAGGCCTCTGACCTGGTGGAGGTTGTCTCCTGTTGGAGGGCAGATCTACCCAGGTCTCATTAGACAAGATCTCTGGACTCAACAGTACAGAAAGCTAGCTTTTTAATTTATATAGACAGAGATGGAGACAGAGATGACCTATATAGAGATAGATATTAGACACTTTGGAGGGTCTTTTGTTTCTTTGTTTTTGTAGTTTTGAGATCACAATTGATCCTCACAATCGTCTGATGAAGTGGACTTGTCCACGAAAGCTCACATTTTTTAAAAAAGTTAGTCTTTAAGGCGTCACCATGTTTTTGTTTTTACTTTTTACTTTGTTTTCACCTATATTTGATCCCCTGTGGAAGAACGGAAGATGCAAGGTGTTGAGTGCTGTGATTAATCTTGTAGTTATTGTATTGTTTTCATATCATAATAAACCATTTAGTTCATTTGAAGGCACATTTTGTGGTGTTTGCCCTGGGTAACAACATTTCTACTTAGGCCTCTACCTCTGTCCCCTTTTCTATGTCCATTCTACACATTCAAATTATTCTTCACTCACCTGATCCTAAAGCAACAATGACTAATCTACAAACCTACTTACAAGACAGTTGCAGGATTCAGAAGACCGAAAACACAGATGCTGGCTCATTTATGCAATAAGATCTGCACAACTCTAGCAGTGTATTGAAGCTATTGAGGCAGTCACAGCCAAGGCAAGTACAGAAAACTGCCAAAGAAGCATTGCCAAAGAAGTTATGACCTCCCATGTCCATGCATATCAGTATTTCTCAACAAAGTCACAGGACTGCACCTTTTTAAAAAACACATTTGTGGACTGATTCACTAAATTTTATCAATATGTTACTAGAAGTGCAATTAGAAACTAAAAGCTTTCAGCGCTCCGGCAACACCATTTAACTTGCTTTGAGCAAAGATCTTTCCACATAAGATTCCAGGAAAAAAGGTACTAACCTCATTGATAAAAGTTTGCGCTCCCCTTGGACTCAGAAGTAAGATTGCCCTTCGTAATGTATCTCGGTAGCGATTCAGCTCTTCTGTTTTCATGGTTGTAAAAAGGCTGGCAAAAACCCTGCTGATGTTTCTGTCCACTTTTTGTAAAGATACATCAAGTCCTAGCTTTGAAGCCTGGTCCAGAAATCCTTGCAGACCACGAATATCTGCCAAATAGAAACAATAAAACATACTTTGAGTCTTTTCAAGATAGTACAGCCTTGAGCAAAAGGACAGCAAAGGTAATGGCCAAGATCCAAAGAATTCCTTAGATTTGTGATAAGGACTTATGACAGCCCAGTGGAATTTTTTTTTTATTTTTATTTTTTGAACATGCAGTTGAAAACCATCATAAAGAGATGGCCCAAGATATTATGAAATAAAACATAGAAATGGTACAGGATACTGGCAGTAAATTATTCTGTTAAATAATTGATCATTTGCTGCCATCCCATTGCTCTTGACCCTATTTGATGACAGTGCGGAATCCAAAATGACATCTGTCACAGGACACAATCTAAACCCCAAAACTTCTGGTCTTACAGTTCTTTACATACTGATCGGTGTGTTTTGTGTTAGACATAACGTTGCCTCAATAAGCAAATGGAGAACTTCTACAGCTGCATGCAGTCAATGAGCTTTGCCAAGTTAGTTTCATTTCACTTAACATTCTCTGTGAACAGAGTGATAGAGGATTCATGCTTTTGGTCACATTTCCTAGAGCTATATTAAGTGCAACAGCAGCAGCATGGCATCACAGAATTATTTCAAGGCAACTCACTGTGACTCCCATGGAGGCCAACCTAAAAGCTGCTTCTGAGAGTGACACCTAAGTCACTGAGAAGACTTAATCACTATCTTGCTATACAATACTCTGAAAATGCAAGGAAACAGAACCAGTAGTGAGCAAATGGAATTATATAAGAAATGCTACAGTATGAGGTTCATATTTAAAAATTCCTTGGAAAGCTCCCTAAGAAACCCTAACAAATCCTCATGAGGTATGCAAGACTATTCATACTTTATGAACATCTAAATCAATGGACTCTATTTTGGAACAGTATGCTATTTGCGTCATGGAAACAACGTAAAAACACTAGATCTTGTCCTTGTACCTAAACTTTCAATTCCAAAATAAATAGTGACATATTTTCCTGGATAATAGAACTTTTACAAAGCCTTTTATGGAACTTCCCTACCTCAGACCTATAGCATATAAGCTGCTACTGAAGATGTTACTTCTATGACTGCCATTCATCCATAGATACAGTCTTGACCAAAAATATTGGCACCCTTGCAATTCTGTCAGAAAATGCAATCCTTCTCTTGAAAAACTGTTGCAGTTGCAAATTTTTTGATACTCACATGTTCATTTCTTTGGTTTATGTTGGAACAACACACACACACACAAAAAACAGAGAAGTCAAATCTGATACAATCCCACACAGAAACCCAAAAATGCACTGGCCAAAATTATTGGCACCCTGTCTAAATTGTAAAAAAAAAAAGAAGAAGAAGAAGCTTTTTAAGCATGTGATGTTCCTTTAATTTGCATTTAGACACACTGTCGCAAGTAAGAGGTGTGAGCAATATAGTAATGACACTTGCAACCAATTAAGATGGAGAAAAATTGACTCAACCTTTGTGTTGTGTGTGACACTGAGCATGGAGAAAAGAAGGAAGTGTCAAGAGTTGTCTGTGGATTTGAGAGAAAAAATTGTGGAAAAACCTTGAGAGTCTCAAGGCTACAAGTCCATCTCCAGAGATCTTAATGTTCTTCTGTCCACTGTGCGCAATATCAGCAAGAAGTTTACAGCCCCTGGCACTGTAGCTAACCTCCTTGGACGTGGACAGAAGAGTAAAATTACTCAAAAATTACAATGGAGGGTTGTTCAAATGGTGGATACAGAACCCAAATTAACTTCCCAACTAATTCAAGCTGATCTGCACAGGGTACAACAGTGTCAGCTCGCATAATCCACCGCCATGTGAATGAAAAGGAACACTATGGGAGGAGACCCAGGAGGACATCACTGCTGTCACAAAGGCATAAAAAATGAAGACCGGAGTATTCCAAAACTTATGTGACAAAACCACAATTGTTCTGAGAAAATGTACAGTGGTGCCTTGCAAGACGAATTTAATTTGTTCCGCAGTTAATGTCGTCTTGTGAAAAATTCATCTTGCGAAACACATTTTCCCATAGGAATGCATTGAAATCTAATTAATGCGTTCCTATGAGCAAAAAAAGTCAGAACAAAATCAAATTTGGTTTACAAAGGGTTTATTAAGTGCTCTTTAAAGCCATACATATTGTGCAGATGACTGAAAAAATTTCAGTCAAAAAACCTTAACTTTTTAAACATCATAGAAAAACATTTTAGAATCAGCAAACATGAGGCAGGAACAAAAAACAGAAAGCATTCTTCTTGGGAACCACGACCATAGGAACATTTGTCTTGTGAGTCATCAACCCCATTGCCCAAACCATTTGTCTTGCGAGGTGTTTTTTTCCTGCGAGGCATTTGTTTTGCGAGGCACCACTGTACTGTAGACAGATGAGACAAAAGTAGAGCTTTTTCGTAAGGGACATCATGGCACTGTTTACAGAAAAATGAGGCATTCAAAGAACACATTTCCTACAGTCAAACATGGTGGAGGTTCAAAGATGTTTTGGGGTTGCTTTGCTGCTTCTGGCACTGGATGCCTTGACTGTGGGAAGGGGATCATGAAATCTGATTATTACCAAAGAATTTTGGTGGCCGGTGTCAGAAAAGTGCATCTCCACCAGAGGTCATGGGTCTTCCAGCAGGACAATGACTCAATTCAAAAGCACTCAAAAATGTTTACAAACAAAGTGCTTGAGAGTTCTGAAATGGCCTGCAATGAGTCCATATCTGAATCACATATAGAACACCTAAGGAGAGATCTCAAAACAGCAGTTGGGAGAAGGCATCCTTCAAATTTGAAGGCCCTGGAGCAGCTTGCAAAAAAAAAAAAGAAAGAAAGAAAGAAAGAAAAAGAAAAAGAAAAAAAAGAAAAAAAAGAAAAAAAAGAAAAAAGAAAAGAAAAAAAAGAGTGGTCCAAAATTCCAGTAGAGAGATGTAAGAAACTCATTCATGGTTACAGGAAGCAATTGATTTCAGTTATTTTTTCCAAAGGGGATGCTACCAAATATTAAGTTATGGGTGCCAATAATTTTGGCCAGTGCATTTTTGGGTTTCTGTGTGAGATTGTATCAGATTTGACTTTTCTTCTCTGTTTTTTTGTGTTGTTCCAGTGCAAACCAAAGATATGAACACTTGAGTACCACAACATTTGCAACTGCAACAGTTTTCTGAGAGAAGGGTTGCATTTTCTGACAGAATTGCAAGGGTGCCAATATTTTTGGCCATGGCTGTATTCCCCAATATAGTGTGGACTGGTATCAACAGGCTTTATCTGCATAATCATGCTAAGTCTCATTCATTCTGAAAGCCACAGTCCAAAGGGGTTCACCAACACTCCAAAGGCTAAGCCTAATCACACTGTGGGCTTCATTGCAATACATGTATTTGGAACTTTATATTTGAAACCTCTGATTGAACAGAAAGAGTCAAAAGATAAAGTTATTATTGCACAGCAGAAGTCAGTGCAGGGGGGTAGGATATGTTTTCACAACTTCTGTTTCTTTTTCAATGTGTTTTCTATATTAACTGAAATAATTGCAACAACAAGAATCAATTCTTCTGGCTAAAATATTTTACTCATGTTGTCAGCCCAGTGTTTTCTGAATTCAAATTCCGTGGATTAGACCCTTTGCTGTCTTTATCAGTTTACAGGTACTTGATATCTAAAGCATAACAGTACCATTTTTTGTTGCTGTTTTTAGTGCTGTCTGCTTCATAGAAGTGCACTACTTGAAAATGAGACATTTCTCATTTTGGTTTGATTAACAATGTCACATTCAACCAACATCTGAAGTTATTTTTTTAAACAGCATTTGCAGATAATAATGAATGAGATGCTATTGTTTGGGGATGAGTTATATTTCCCACTAACATGCTAAGCACTAAGATACAAAAGTAAAAGCATTAGACATATGAGTAATATTTGAAAGAAAAAGAAGAAGCTCTTGAATGGTGGTTATGGGTTTGATGGGGAAGGGAAGATGTTTTTAATTAGCTAAAACATAAGTTAGAACATTGTGAAGGGAGGGGAGTAAAGGCATACACCCCAAGCAAGTCATCCGGCCCCAGCAAACATGTATCAGGCAGCTGGGAAGAGGTTACATCTTCTCAGGATCAGGCCTACACAATTGAAGGACAAACAGATCCCTGGTGAGGAACAGCTGGAGGCAGCAGACTCAAGGCGAATAAAAGAACAAGAGATAGAAAGCACAGGTTCCTTGCTTATCTCTGAAGAAGAGGATGTGTGAGAGGATACCAGGGAGGAGAAATGCTGGGAAGTGTCTATCCTTGTCGGATTTGTTTGCTTGTAACAGGAGTCAGACACCTTGGACAAGGCTATGTTAGCCTGGATACCACCATAGCCCTGTAGAGGCAAGTGACAACAAGCACACGTAGAGATGAGCTGCAGGACCTGACTTCTTTTGCTCATCTATATAAAAGATAAAGGTAAAGGTTCCCCTTGGCAATTTTTGTCCAGTCGTGTTCGACTCTAGGGGGTGGTGCTCATCCCAGTTTACAAGCCATAGAGCCAGCGTTTTGTCCGAAGACAATCTTCCGTGGTCACATGGCCAGTGCGACTTAGACACGGAACGCTGTTACCTTCCCACTGAGGTGGTCCCTATGTATCTACTCGCATTTGCACGCTTTCGAACCGCTAGGTTGACGGGAGCTGGGACAAGCGACGGGCGCTCACTCCATCACGTGGATTCAATCTTACGACAGCTTGGTCTTCTGACCCTGCAGCACAGGCTTCTGCGGTTTAGCCCACAGCGCCACCACGTCCCTCATCTATATAAGCCTTCCCTAAAAGGGGTGTGTCCTGGACCTATGCTCTCCTCTCCTTCTTGCTTTCCAAAACCCGGACTCTGAGGAACTCCAGTGAAGTTCATTAGGTCCCCAAGTTATCAAGTGTTTAGAGATTATAATTTCAGCTCTCTGAAACTCTTGGGGGAAAGGATGTTGTGTCAGTAATAAACGTTGTTCTGAGCCAAG